GGACGGGAGCGCCGCCGCACTTCCCAAGCGGCGCACCATCCAGTGCGCCACCGGGCTGGCCCCTGCTTGCAATTTTTTAATAGGTTGGCAGAAATACTCTATGGCTCTACTGCCTCATGCCACTAAGTGAAGAAATATTTTGCTAAAATGTTTTCAAAGGTATTAAAGTTAATTGGTGACAATACATTAAACCAAAAATCCTAGGCACAGCATATTCTAGGGAGCCAGCCCTAGAAAATAAGTGGGCATGTGTTGGGAGTTTACACCATATGCCAGATCTGCCGAGTTAATCCACCTCAACTTTAAACACCACAGGGTCTCTTTTTCCAGGACCTCTCTCCATCCTTTCCACTAAGAATGCAGACTTAAAACCAAGGTGTTATACCAAACCTCCCCACGACTCTCAATGTAAATAATTCCCAGACACTGCACCACTTTTTCTGGCTTATAAATAAATCAGAAACAAGACTGATTTAGTAGCTCCAACACATATGGATCACTATGTACTCTAGTCTGGTGCTGCTGGACCTTGAATTAGTTCTGTTAAACTTTAGAAAATCTACGTAAATCTTAGACTCTCGTCACCAAAATGCTTTAGAACTTTAGCAAATTTATTTTATTTTTTTTTCCTTTTTGTCTTTTTTACTGACCGGCAACGGGATTGCAACCCTCGGTGTTGCGCCCGCACCGCGCTCAGCCAGTAAGCGGGAACCGGTCTCCACATGGGATCCGAACCCTCGGCGGGAATGCCGACGCGCTCCCAAGCGGCGCACTCTCCAGTGCACCACCGGGCCAGCCCAAGCAAATTTATTTTTAACAGAAGCTCCAATGTTTATTGGCATAGACAAACACGAGAAAGTGTTCTCTTTCATAAGTACTTTTGGGCTATTTTCACAACCAAGGTTACTTTACACTAATACAGTTGCTATAATCACAATACTACTTTTATTAATAAGTGATTTCTACTTGAGTTCACAGATGTGAAGAAAAAAATTGTGTAACATTCCTATTTACACCTTAATGTTGGTGTTTTTTGATGATACATTTTCCATGAAGAACTGCCAAAAGAAACAAAATGCTCCAAAGAACCACATGCTGCTCCCTGGAGCCTTTCATGAGGCCGTTGAGTCCTCATGTTCATCAGGAGGGTAGCTCCAAGAGTAGTGGCTACAGCAGCTGGGCACTTGCCTTGTTACACACCTGCTACAAAGGCTTCTACAGTTGATTGTACTTCAGAAGAAACTGATACATCTCTCAAATAATCACAAGATAATTCTGGCAGCAACAGCCCACTTGACACCAAGCTGGATGAATATGAGTCTTGGATTTCTGAAGTGAAGACCTCCCTGGAAGTAGAACAGGGAGAGCTGAAAGGTTGAGAGTATTGTTTCAGAGATACCTAAGCAGGAAACCCAACCTTAACACATCAACCACTTTTCTAAAAGGACTTTTACTCATTAAAAATGAGAATTTAGTAAGATACTTTGAAATTTACGCTACTGATGTTACTCTGAAGATGCCTAAGGGCATTTCTACCTTTATTTTTACATAGGCATTTGATGACTTAGCACTCAGCTCACAGCTTTAAAAAAAAAAAAAAAAAAAAAAAAAAAAAAAGTCCCCTCTGCATTCTACCTACACCAAAAAATAAAATGTTACTTACCACACAGAATACCTTTAGAAGTAATTGGCAGAGGAATACTAGAAGAGGCTTCTAAAGGATGATTTGGCACTATATGAGATGTGAAGCCTGGAGCAGGCCGGAACCACTAAGAAAATGTAGTTCGAAGAAGCTACATACTGAAACTGGTAGGTACAAAGTTCCAATAAATTGGGTGGTGATCACACATATAAACTTTTGCTATACTGGACCAAAAATAAGTGACGGACAATAACAATAGTCTATACTGAGTACTCAGGATAATCAGGACAGGGCTTGCTTCAATTGACAGTAAACGGAAAGCTAGTAATCACAATGAACAGTTATTTTTCAGGTGATTAGGCTGGAAAAACTGAGTAACCCTAGAGGAAGAATTCACTAAAGGTAAATGCTAAAGAATTATTTTAAAAGAGAAGAACAAGAATGAACAGGAGATATGTAAGAGGGGGGAGGAAAAACAACCCTAGAAATAAGCCCAACAGGCTAAGTTTGAAATGCCTCACAATAAATATTAAAATATATCTTAATGAGAAAACAAAACACAGGAATTTCACAGCAATATTACTTTTGCATGTGGAATCGATACGATTAGGCTCCCTTCAAAAACGTGTCTTGATTATTCCATGTGACGACTGAATTTTTTTTCTGGAAAAAGTGTGTGTGTACCTGAACACAAGTAAAATACCTAAATCCCTTTTGGTAATTAAGATGTGACATCAATTAAAGATAACTATTATAATACAACCTGAAGTATATAACCGTATTTAAACTTCTCTAGCTTTCCTGGTTTCAATGCAGCACACAGGTAACTCTTTAAACAAATGCACTTACTATTTTGATTGCCTTACGGCAGATCTCACTGTTCACCTGCTCCCAGCTCCCAGGGAAAACTTACGTGCAGTACAATTATTGCAGCAAAGACCAGGTTAAGCAAGCTATTAAGATTCAATACCTCAGGGGCCCCCCATGTATCTTTCCCAGGTGGTGGTGGGTACATCTCTTCCAGAATATGTTTAGACTTCTTCTAATTATCATTGCCTTATTTTTTTAATAGTTTTTTTTCTTCTGTGTGACCCTAAAACAGTGTTTGGCAGTGTGCTACTTTGGTACAAGAGACCCTATCCTGCTGATTGGCAGTTTAAGTAGCACTGGTCTAGATGCTAATGCATAAGGCACATACCTGAGAGTGGACATGCTAGGTTTTTAGTGGCAAATAGTTTTCAAGTCTTTTGCTCATTTTACTATTGTGTTTTTATTTTTTCTTATTGACTTCTAGGAGTTCTTCATCAACTTAGGACAGTGAACATCTCATTTTTAGGATTTTTAAAAAATATATTTGGGATTGTTTTGTTAGTGTCCATGGTGAATCTACTAGGATACCCCATCCTACTTTTGGTAGTGCCAAATATAACATGTTGATCATGCTAAACCTAGATGATGAGCTAAGAAGATACTATACTCATTTGGGAGCTCTTTGCAAAACTGCATGTCAGAGGATCCTTGCAGTACAGAGAAAGAAGCAGATAAAACATAATCTAAAGTCAACATAAAGCTAATATTAACTTCAGTCTACATGAACATAGAATCATTTTAAGGAGTTGTATCCTAGGAACATGCTAGGCACCTAAAGAATTAAACTACAATATAAAACCAAAAAGCACTTACAATTAAGACCAGTTTTTTTTATTAGACAAATCTAAGGAAAGAACAAAGAGAATAGGTAACATGTATGTTCTTATGAACAGATGTTTAAAATTATGATTATTGTGGCCAATGCTATTCACATTCATAATAATAATTATCTCAGAGCAGTGCTGACCAACAGAACTTTCTGCAGTGACTGAAACGTTCTTTATGGGTGCTGTTGAAAATAACAGCCATTTGGGCCGGCCCGGTGGCGCACTGCTACAGTGCGCCGCTTGGGAAGTGCGGCGGCGCTCCCGCCGAGGGTTCGGATCCCACATACAGACCGGTTCCCGCTCACTGGCTGAGCGAGGTGCAGGGAGCAACACCGAGGGTTGCGATCCCGTTGCCGGTCCCGGGCTGGTACGGGCGCGACACTGAGGGTTGCGATCTGTTGCCGGTCATGAGAAAAGACAAAAAGGAAAAAAAAAAAAAAAAAAAGAAAATAACAGCCATTAGCCATGTATAGCTCCCAAGCATTTAAAATGTGGGGCTCATGCAACTGAGGAACTGAATTTTTAATTATTTACTTTTAACTTATTAAATGAGCCACCTGTGTAGTGGCTGTAATTCTGAACAGATCCATTCTACAGAATGCTGTTTTCATAATAAATTTTCAAATTTCTAGGGATCAAGTCCATGCACAGACTTAAAACAAACAAAACAAAAAACCACTATCCCCAAAATGACTTTGTTCAAGGTAACAAAGGTCAATTCACAAATTGACAAAGCTAGACAGTAAATGAACAAAAGGCAACAAAACTTTACAGCATGTAAATCCTGAACAGAGATCTGAAATATGTGCTTACATTAGATAAGGCAAAAAGTTTAGAGCAGAGCATTACAAAAAGGTTTTGTTGTCTTGGCTCCTGCTGCAAGTCAGTCAATTATAGGCATTTCAAACCTCATGGTGGCTGGGTATGGCCTGGACAAGTTAAACCTGACCAGTCTAATCTTTATAAATTGATATACTGCACAAATATTTTCTACCCATGCCATAATGTGAAGAACACTGAGTTAGAGAAAAAGATGGCTAAATCTCTGCTTCAGTCAGCTTGTGACAAACTGATTGATCTAAGTGGACATGGATAACCCTGGAATGGAGGTGAAGGATGAAGTAGCTGTTTTCTGGGCCTTACCAGTATGTGTGTACTTCACTTAAAGAGTCTCCTTAGGCTCATTTGAACAACGGCCAGCCTAGAACAGCAGTCTAGTATTTACCTAGATTTTACACTTTACAAACTGTTCTCATATATACAACACTTCACTTACTCTAATCAAACTTGTGTTCCAAAATGGTTTTCTTCTCTGTGGGGGTGGGATGGGCAGCGAAAACTCCAAACTGAAAACTCTGAAACAAGACTCAGTAGAGTGTGACGAAACACACAGATAGGTAGTCACTATTAATTCTCTCAGCTCATCTATCCTCTGTAGTAAACGTAAGAATCATTTTATCCCCTTTAAAAACTGGTCTGCACTGACAGACGGAATAAGTTCAGGAGCTCTAGAGGCTAACTATAGCTATAATATTATATTGTATATTTTTAAATAGCTAGAAAAGAGGACACTGACCATAATCACTACAAAAAGAAATGTTTAGGTGAAGGATATGCTATCTACCCTAAGTGTGTGTATTGAAACCACACACTATACCCCACAAATACATGCAATTAAAAATAATTTAATAAAAAGCATGAAAATAAAATTTAAATTGCCTACAATTCCACACCTAGAGACCACAGTATTTGTTTCATGTTTCTTTCCAAATATTTCCTACCAATATTTTCAGACATTTTTAACAAAAATTAAGATCATACTGTCTCATAAACAATTCTTGTACCTTGTCATATTCATTTATCACTGTGTCATAAGCATTTAAGCAAAGATTCTGATTTTTGAATCATTACATAATATTCCATTTATCAGTCTATGAAAAATGAATTTAACCAAGTCCTTATTGCTGGATGCTTAGATTGAACCCAATTTCTCATCTTCTATAGAAATCTCTGAATCAAAAAAACAAATTCACTGGATCAAAGAACATAAACATTTTTAAGGTGTAGAGAAGGTTGAAAGGCAATAAAGATGAGAAAGTATTTAGCACTTTTCTCATTCATTCCCAACTTGCAGAATGAAGATTAACCTCACTTTGGTCTTATTCACAGATATGACCAGAATTTTTCTTCCTCACCTTGAGGACCTCATTTTGGAGTTATAATCTCTTTGTATACTGGCTCTTTATCAAAAACCAAACTTTTAGATCTTTTATCTAAAACCCAAAGTTTTTAGGAGGGGGATTTCTGGGATACTGGTAATACTCTATCTCTTAATCTAGGCAAGGATTACATAGATATATTCAGTTTGCAAAAATTCATTGAGCTGTACACTTATGATCTGTGTATTTTTCTGTATGTTTGTTGTACTCCAAAAAAAACTATGCTTACAAAACAAACAAACAAAAAAAACCCAAAAAACAAACAAAAAAAAAAACTGGTCTATACTGCTTTCCAATCTCTTTGGCCCTCCTAGAAAAGATTCCAAATTGTCCAAAACAAGAATATCATTTCCCCAAAACTTCGTTTATCTATCAACATACTGTTTATTCACATTGTGCTTGTACAGAATATATTTCTGCTACTTTACACAAGCAGTGAAGCACCATCATATGCTACTTTAGGCATGCCAAGAGAATACACATATTCAAAAAACACTTTAAAAATCTGTGTAGTCTAATGATAGTAGTTTTATTCATCTTTTTGGTCAAAGAGCACCAACTGCATTAATGAATGTTCTGTTGAAAATGCCTGCATCACAATTATCTTTAAATTATCAAATATCAAAACTGAAATTTACCCTTCTTCATAATCAGGGTCAACCATTTCTCTTTTCTACTGACAATTAACAGTGAAACATGAGAAATAATACTAGCAAATTCATGAAGAACATTTTTCCTAGTTAAAATATCCTAACAGGTAGGGTAGGTCCTGTTAAGGCGTGTGTAAATACCAATAATCAGCTAAGACAGAACATGATTATTTAAAATGCTGATGTTCTGATGAAGTTCCCACATAAACATACAGCAGTCAACTAATGACAACAAGGTGAAAAAGCTTTTAAAGCAAACTTCAAGCAAATCAATTCACTGAACCCCTTTTCCATACTCACATACAACATAACATCAAAAGTTATATAATGGTTAATTCAATCTGACTCCACTACTACATCAACTACTAGAAGCAATTGTTAGAAGAGAATTTAGTTTTCTGGAGTGAATTTTAAATATTTTCCATTAGACTAAGTTATTAATCATAACTGAAGCTATAGCTAAAATAAATTGAAAACCAGCCCACTGGAAAAACTTACTCCAGAATAAAGCCTTAGGGAATTTTTTAAAAGACATGCAAAAACTTCCACAATAGGGCACATCAAATTAATCTGAAATACTGATGTTAAAATATTTGTCAAGATATTTTCAGTGCTCACATAGTATATGATAGTACACATACTCTAAAGAAATTTTTGAAGAAAAAAGATTTACCATGTAAGCATCTTCCAAAGTTTCCAGATACTTAATGGAATAAAGTATCTCAAAATTCAGATGGCTGTCTGACTTAAAAGTCCTGAACTCAGACCTGAGTTCAAATCCTGAAGCTCATACCACCTGCACATAAATCTTATTGGAGTACTGGAGTATTATACAGTTCAAATAGAGTTCATGTAACTATATGTTTTGTAATACTGTGTCAAATAATTTTCACAAAGGCCAATATATTAAGTCCTTTTAATGATTTCCAAATATTACTGGTGCTCCACAGAAAATTAATCTCACAATTTCAGTGTCCAGTAGAACAAACTGTTTTTGGTATGTAAGGATAATATATTTCTGGAATGTAAAATTTTCTATTGCCATTTTTCACTAATTCTAGTCAAGAAACCTTTGGAACCAGATTATCTTTCTGAATTTATAATTTCTCAAACTTTTGGACAATGATGCAGTACATACACTTTATATATATTATGTAACACTCTCTAGGAGAACGAGTCAGCATCCTGTAATCACAATATTTCTTCAGCAAAATTTAGAAATATTAACGCTAAATGGGAAAAGTAAAGTTAAAAATAACATCAAATCAGCACAAATTCAGGTCAGGTTTTTTTCCCAAATTAGTTTAGGTCACATTAAAGGCTATCAAAAAAATTTTTTATTAAGTCTTTTGGATTTCAGAATTATATGAATAAGGGATTATGGACCTACAGCTTTATAGCAAAGCTCAGGTACTACATTTTCACTTAACATAACATACATTGTACCAGGGCACAATAAATCTAAGAGTCAGTCACCATGGCTGCCAGAATATGCACAGCAGTTAAGTATCTTTAGCATATTCTATCTGCTCCTATTCCTTCCCCCCAAAAGGGGACACTAACTATGGACTTCCTACATTCCACAATATTATTCATTAATCTAAAGACTACTTTTTCATAATTTGGCAGAATCATTAAAATGTCAGCTTAGTAACATCAGTCTCTCAAATCACTAAGAGTAAACATCACTAGAAATATTAAATAAAATGCAAGGTTCAGTTTCCATTAAACATGAGACTTAAACCAAAACAAGGTTTATCCTTTATTATGGTCTTCCTTACAAGATGAAGCTTGTTCTTAAATTTTCACCTCAGAATATATTCATTAACTATGGTGTCCAACTAGACCTCCACCCCCCAAAAAGTTTTTAACTTCCAAGCCAACTTGGGGGAAAAACATCAGATATGCTGGAAGTAGAACAGATGAACTAACAAAAATTAACTGACTTGGTACTAATACAGCGGCAACTGTGCTTCTCTTTAATATGCATACAAACCACCTGGTTAAAATGCAGATTGATTCAGGTTTGGCCAGGGCTGAGACTCTGCATTTCTGTACTATCTAATGCTGCTCACCTGAGGACTACACTGCATAACTAAGGATGGTTACACACTTTAAAAAGAGAAATCATTGTGACAGTTTACAACTAAAAGAACTGTCATAGTCCGACTTTATTTTATGGCTGTATTCAAAAAATAAACAATTTGCTCAGTTTTACAAAGGTAGGAGAAAACCCTCCCTCCATTCAGCATTCTAAGTCAGAACTTTTAGGAAATCCTTTTAAAACTGTTTTTTCTTCTCTTTAGCTTTAAAAACCTGAGTCCAAAATTGAGTTAACATCAAATGTATTTAAAAGGTTTGCTTTAACGACATCTTTATTTGCTAGAATCTGTTTAACAAGATCAGACTAAAGAAACACTTAATTGATACCCTCAGCTTTCTTAAAAATTTTTAATGTTATTCTCTCCAAGACTCTGGCCATCTTAAAAACACCTAAATATCAATACTAAAAAACAAATTTCAATAACAAGGAGTCTATATACTATGAAATTTTGAAATGAACCAACCACACAAACTAGCAACTCAAATGCAAGCAGTTTACTGTGGAATTACATTTTGTACAGGGACTGTATACTAAAATCAAATCCATTATGTAGATAATCCAGTATAGCCAAAAACTATCCTTGAAAATCTGTCCAGAAGGTGACATGTTGGGAGACATATATATATCATCTTTCAGTAAGTCCCCTAAAAACCAGTTTTTCCCACCAGCTGATTACCTCAAGTCATTTTATGAAAAATATAAGATCTAGAAAATCACGTGACTCTGGCAACATGTTTGTAACTAGAAAAACAAAATACCCAAATACACGAAAAATATGTACATTGTGTAATGATTAAAAAAAAAACAACTAAGATTCATCTTTCATACCCCATGCTCTGGGGTATAGCTTCAAAGAGTGGAATGAGAGCAGAATCTTTTGCTCTACTTAACAATATTTTTGTTATGGAATTAGTAATAATAAAAAGAAAATTAAAATGTTTGATTTTTTTCTGATCAAGCCCAAATACTTGAATCCACAACTTACATGGTTGAATGATGTGATAAACTAACATCTTAAATCCAAAAACCTCTCTCCAACTTATATTAAAACCTGTACTAACCACACTTCCTAAAACTTAACCTGCAATATGTACTTAAATATAGTAATATTTGTTATGTATTCAAGATAAAGTAAAATGTAAGCAATCCAGTCATTGGTAAACAATGCATGAAACCAAATCAGTCAAGCTTATAACCTATAACTGTCAGGTCTCTATTTTAGAAATTTAAAAAGAGCTTTAAGGATTACTGCACTTAAAGAGGTACACACAATTTCAAGTTTTGAAAAATACTAAGTAACACAGCACTCTCCTTTACTTCAATTTTACAAGACCCCCGCAGATATAAAAAATACTTACATGGACAAGTTAGGAGATGGAACCCCCCTATCATCAGCTAGGTTCCCAAGGTGGCTCAGCGTTGAAGTCGAACTGCTCCCTGTACAGCACTTCTCCTAGGCCCTCTGGGTAGTTGTATACTTGGTCAGAAAGTTCGCCCTAAGTAAGAAATAAAAGTAGCAGATAGTCCCGTGTTTAAAAAAAAAGTTAGGTTGTCCTTCAAGCAGGTTAAATCAACTTAAAGATGAACTGTAAATTAAGTTTTAGTCTTTATAATAGAGTATGTTTCATTAAAATCACATTTTAATCAAAGGGTTTACCATAGTACCAAGTACTTTATGTCATTGACATTTCTAAGCTGCTGGACTACAAAATTCACAGAACTTATCATGGTCATCTTATCAAGTTGTTTTATCTACCTATACTCATGAATTTCCACCCTTCATCTAATTCTATTTTTGCTTTTATCTGTCCTCTAAAACCCAAATTTTAAGTGGCCTAAAATGGCAAAATTTCTAAGTATTCCCACCAACTTGGTGTATATCCAAGACTTTCTATGCATAATGCTCTAGAGCATGATCTAGAATACTACCCAGAATACTCTTTTACTCAAATTCAAATTATTCTTTGCTTAAAATATAAAATCCTACAACACCAAAGAAGACAAAAATTTTGTGACTTAGCTAGTTATGAATCTGAAATAACTTTTGAGACCTACCTTACTATATTAGGCAAGTAACCTCTTAACGTTTCTCTCACACCTAACCTATCTAGATCTACTTCATTCTATTATCGCCAGGAGCATTACACGTGTGAAAGTACTTGGCTCACTACACAAAATGCTAAATAAGTTTTAGAAATGGTCACCACCTATTATTGTTTGACTGGATGGACTTAAGCACTCTAGACTAAAATGCTATACCTGTAATTCAGTGGTTACTGTTTTAAAGTAATATAACCTAACAGTATTTGCTAGAAAGGGAGAGGAGAGAATGAAACCAGAAATATTATGAAACTAGAAATTACAAGGTCAAAAGTTTGAGCGACTTCAGAAACACCCTACACATATCTCACCTCAACCAGGATCAACTGAGAGAGGTAAAATGTTCCTTCTATTTAGCAAGGGAAACTGATCACACTCTCAATGACACTTATGGATGATGAGCAAAGAACCCATATACCAACACACAAGGAAGCTATAACCTTACAATAAATTCCAAATAATGCACTACTCCGTAACAATCGTTCTGATTCTTCCCACATCAAGGTAATTTTTAAAATAAATAAAAAGCCAACTCACGCTGTGGACAGTTCAGTCTTAATAATCCTAAGGAACAGGATAATTACCCTGGGTGAAACATTATTCACTCCTTCCCCGCCCCCCACTCACCCCCACTATATATCCACAACCATTTTGCTGCTTAATGCAACCTAAGAACAGTGATGTCAAACACTAAGGATATTAAACTTAAGACATTCAAGAATGCTCTTCAGTGAGACCTCTAAAACATTTCCATTTAACAAAAAAATAGTAGTAAGGGGCCGGCCCGGTGGCGCACTGCTACAGTGCGCTGCTTGGGAGTGCGATGGCGCTCCCGCCGAGGGTTCGGATCCCACATACAGACCGGCCGCTCACTGGCTGAGCGAGGTGCGGGCGCAACACCGAGGGTTGCAATCCCGTTGCTGGTCCCGGTCCGTACGGGCGCGACACTGAGGGTTGCGATCCGTTGCCGGTCACTAACAAAGACAAAAAGGAAAAAAAAAAAAAAAAAAGACATTTGGGCTGGCCTGTGGCTCACTCGGGAGAGTGCGGTGCTGATAGCACCAAGGCCACGGGTTCGGATCCCATATAGGGATGGCTGGTTGGCTCACTGGCTGAGCGTGGTGCTGACAACACCAAGCCAAGGGTTGAGATCCCCTTACCGGTCATCTTTAAAAAAAAAAAAAAAAAAAATAGTAGTAGGGAATGAAGGCCCCATAATTTGAAAGGCAGATTTTAATAGGAATAATAAAAGGGGTACATAGGGTAAGATGGCTATTTACGTACAAGACAGATGGAATGCTTATCCGGACAGTTGTTAACAGATAAAAGCATGAAAAAGGATAGACAAATGGAAATGTGGAAAAGAGGTCATGTGGAAAAAGATAAATTATTCTTTTAGAATGGTGAGTGTAATCAACTGAATCAGGCACAACATTGCAATCATCTGCCTTAACAGTCATTTGAAGAGAATGTCTCTAGCTTCAACACCTTAAAGAATAACACAGGGAGGACTCAACCAAGACAGCATGTATACCAGTAAGACACAAAAGTCCTTCTATCACTCTGATCATAACTACCCAAAACTTAGTATCTCAAAATTATCAGTATTTTTCTGAACACACATTGCCTTTACCAATGATTTTTAAAATTGCTTTGTGGTACTCTTTCTAAAAACTCAAAACATCAGTCCAATCATGAGAAAAACATGAGACAAACCTAAATTGTGCGGTATCCTACTAGATACTGGGCCGTTATTTCTCGAGACTGTGAAGGCCATGAAAAACAGAATAATGAAAAACTGTCACAGACCAGGTAAGACTAGAAGAAACATGACAACTAAACACAGTATACCTTGCATGCACTCCATTCTAGAAGAGAAAAAGGACATCAAAGAAAAACTGGTGAAATCCAAAGAAAACCTGGAGTTTAGTTAAAAGCACCAAAGGCAGTTTCTTAGTTTTGACAAAGGTACCTTGATAATTTAAGATATTAATAGGGTAAACTGAGTGAGACATATTCAAGAACTGTTAGTTTCTTTGCGACTCTTCTATAAAACTAATATTCCAAAATAAAGTTTATTTTTTAAAAATCAGGCAAGCTAGTCACGTAACGGACTACTCCTCAGTAATAAAAAAGAACCTATGGATAAATGCAACATGAATATCAAAAACACGCTGAGTTAAAGAAGCCTTTTATACAAAAGAATACATACTGTACGCTTCCATTTATACGGAAGTTTTAGAATAAGCAAACTAATCTTTGGTTTAAAAAAATCAGAATCGTGGTTGCCTCTGTGGGGAGTGGGAGACGGAGACTAAAGGGGCAAGAAAGAATTTTGTGGGGTGACGGCAATGTTCTACTTCTTGATAAAGGTTTGGGTTACATAACAGTATTTTTGTCAAAATTCATTAAATTGTATATTTAAGATTTGTGGATTTTACCGTTACATGAATTTTATCTTCCCCCGAATTTAAAAAGTAATAAACAGTATTGAATTCTATTTGTAAAATGTACATACTAAAGTTGAAGGGGTGATATGTTCTGGTTTCTCCAACTTTGAAATGCATTGAAAAATAAGATGAATAGATAAGACAAATATAGTAAAATGTTAATTGTAGAATTTAAGTGGAGATACAGCTCTTTCACTTTCCATGCTTGAAATTTATTTAACAAAACCTTGGGGGAGAAAGTCATTGACTATTTGATTTCATTTATATCACCTATAATCATGTATTGAGGAACCTATCTTCCCTACTTAATGTAAACTCCTCAGGATTTATCTGACTTCATAACCAGCATCTCCACGCTCTCATATTTGTAAAGAAAAAAAAAAAAATCAAACGATTATTAGGGCCTTGCCAGACAATCATTAGCCATACTTCTGCCAGGGTAGTTCACATCAACCTTTCCTGAGCCCACAGCGATTCTATCTCCCTTAAGAGTTCCCACCCAAGCTGGGGATTCAACAGTGGAAAAGGACGGGACACAGAACGATTCAATGTATCCAAGCTGCCAACACAAAAATCCAATTAAATCTGTTGAAACCTCATGGGGCTGTAAATTGTGTCTCTGGCCGTTTCAGGTTTCTGACCGCTCATCAGCTTAGTCTAAGAAACACACGTTCAGGATGTATCTTGTGTAAGGGTTAAAACACGTCACCACCATTAACTGCTGGCAATCGAGAGAGTACTCGATAAGCCACTCCAGCCTAACATTCTCCCTCTCTCTGCCCAGGAATCGTGGCGCGGACGGGAAAAAGAAGCCTCGGTGACTAATCCTCAGGCTCCGGGATGTGACTAGGGTGACTGAAGGCGACTTGGCCCAATCAGGAGAGCCGCAGGGGCGGAGCAGCAGCCCCGAGGCTTCCAAAAGGGGCCAAAGCTCTCTAGCTCGCTACCTGACACCGGGCTTCCCCGCCGTCGGGCCCCTAGTGGCGTCAACTTTCCTCCACCAGAGGGGGACCGCGCTCCCCGCACCACCAAGAATCCGACCTCCCCCGCAGCTGTCACCAAAGGCCGGCGCAGGGCCCGCCCCGCTCCATTCATAACCCAAGGCCCGGGCCATGGCAGCCCATCGCGCCGCCCGCCCGCCGGGCTCCAGGAGGCGAAGGCGGCGGCGCAGCGCTGCGCCC